CCAACAAAAGGGTTCATTTCCTAAAAATGACCATTGAAGGCAGCAGACACACACACAGGGTGGTCTCACCGAAGAGAACTAATAATACAGGCGGTGTGATGAATTACACACACACCTTTTCCCATTTAAGTATATATCACTGTATAGGATAAATTCAAAAAGCTCATTGTAGAGCAAAGCAGATTGTTGGAAGAAGACACAAAAGCATTAACCTGTATAACCAATAAAAGCAGCTAACACTAATGCTGCATACTCCAGAGTATTAAGAATTTATTCTACCTTTCTGCAAAGCAACTGATTTCCATTAGAGCAAAGCATTTCCTATCAGACAAATTTCATAACCACACGACTCAGGATAGACTCTGTAGTAAACCCTTTGATAACAATACATTTGTAATATCACATCTGTTTATTTCTCCTAATGTTAGTCAGTAATTTATGAAAACACATGCAAAGGATAGTTTCCATTTAATACTATTCCATGTGAAAGGATAGAAGGCACTAAGATTACAAGTGGATTATTCTGAAATAAGAATGCTTTTATTTTACTTATCTTTAAAACTGGCATGCAGGTGACTAAAATCACTTAATTGAACATTTAACTTTCTAAAAACCAGCCAAGAATATTCTTGCATGACATAACCTTAGCAGAACAATCTTCAGTAAAATATTTTTGCATTATTGAATTCTTTGTAGATGTTCATCATAGCACTTTAATCTCCTGAGTTTCCAAAAACATCTCTTCCATTTGTATTAATGGAAGATGTGCACAATTTTAAAAAAAAAATACATTACCGGCGTGAATAAGAAAGAATTCTCTTAGTTCTTAATGCATGAGATACCGGGCACCATGAACAAGAAGTGGGACCCATGTTCCTTCATGCCTCAAAGCTGTTAGATATAATTCAGGACTACTCCTCACCTCACTGTAGCAGTGCTTTAATTCTTAACCTCTGCTTATGTCAGTCACTGTTGCTTTTTGTTTTTAAACATTTGGCAGTCATGTTAAATAACAGCCATAATGCCATGGGACATCACTTTTTCAAGTGTTATTCACTGTCTGTGCTATTCACTTTCTCCTTTTCTCTTATTCCCTTGCTGAAACTGTCCACCTAATATATGAAGTCACGTAGGTCTCTCTCCACACAGTCAACACAACCACAAATATGAATATGATTTGACTAGTGGTGCATAAACTTGCTGTAACAGCTTTCACAATGTTTGACAAACAGCATCTACATTCTAAACCCCAGCAAAATAAGTGCCACAAAAGAAAATGCAGCCTGACAAAGGCGTGTGCACATACCCACAGCTGCATTCCTAACTCATGCACTCAGCCAGCTGCACTACACCTACAGATATTGGCACATGCCAGTCTTCCAATTCTAGTAGTGCTTGATTTTCCCTAAGCAATGTCACTGGATCTCTCCAGCCTGGGGAAAGTTCAAGCTACTCTGGATCAGTTTCAGCAGCAGTCAGGGAAGGTGTGCCTTCCTCATCCCTTCACCCTCTGTATAATGTGAAGAGTTACCTCTTTGCAGTCAGGATGTCCTGAAAATATCCCTAATAAATAACTGGTGGTATAGAAATCCCCCAGCCAAGAGGCAGCAAGCCCCTGCTGCTCCTCCCCATTGTCAGGAAAGGGGCACCAGCTCCTGCAAACCAAGCAGAATTCCCAGTGACAGAACCTACAAACCTCCCTACAAACCTACAACCAACCTCCCAGCGATCCTCACCTACAAACTGACAACACCTCAGCTTCTGCAGGTCCTTCATGTCAGCTTCTGCCCAGCCACAAGTTCCCCATGGTACAGAACTCTGCCAGACAAGCTCCTCACATTCATATTCCCCCATCAGCAGCTACCACAAACTTCCCAAGCAGACACTGAGCTAAGCCTGCACAGCTGCAGGACAGCCAACACTTTGCAGTGGCACTTTGTACACTGGTGCTTCAGCCAAGAAGCCAAACCTGCTCACAACCACCAGCCCCAGCATTCTGAGACACAGAAACCAAGGCAGAGTTCAGCTATTGGTTACACAGACCAAAAAAACTCTAATAAAATCCATGCATCCTGATCATCAGTTTAATCTCTAGATATGTTGCTTGTAAATCATAAGCAGGATGAAGTTTTTAAAGCTAAGGTCAACTTCATTAGAAGAACCTGAAAAACTGGAATTTCATTTTAAATACAAGGGAAAAAAAGCCAAACAAAACACTTTAAAGACCTTCCTACTTTGCATTCCAAACTATACTAAACCTCTTATTTTGTAAGATTTAGATGTCAAGTATCAAAGGGATTAAAAGCTCAGTCATACCTTTGTATACCCTAGATCCAAAATATGAACAAAGTGTTCATCTGTGAATTATAGAGCTTTATGGCCATTTATTTTACATCAATACATGTTCCATTTCACACACCACTTATTCCTCAACCCTTTACTCAAAACATAAGGTCTTTGCCAGTGGGCAGAGTACTATTTACAACAGAAGTTATAAATATGAATATGAAAAGCATCAGATTATATAAAACAGTATCAAATTTACTGTTATCTCTAAAATGAAAGTAATTAATCTGATCACCTACTTTACCGGCCAACCCAAGACTTTTTAATTAGTTGATTATATTGCCTAATAAAGTAGGTGCCATTTTGTAATGTTTCTCATTCTTTATTATAAAATATATGAATAATTTTAGTGTTAGATACACAAATCCTCCTAATACCAGGTCTGTGTGCCAATAAAGAAATGTCTCCATAAACATTGAGATACATTGACTCATTATCAAGAGATGATTAAGGCTGCTGATCACATATTTCTCACGCTCCACATAAGCTCAGCATCATATAGTTTAAACATGATCACTAAACCTGCTCGTACTTTCAACACACTGAGATAATCAGCCACACGATCCCCATGACAAAGGCTGGAGCATTTTCAGGGCTAAGATTAGCACTTTAAAGGCAACGCACAAAAGAAATGCTCCCTCTCAGCAGCAGAGACATCAGACTGGGCTAGTTCTGATTTTTCTTGCATTTAAGACCACTACAGTTTAAAAACAACAGCATAAGATAAAACACTGATGACACTGTATTCCTGAAATAGGTTCAAATGTCTCACAACTCTTATCATCTTGATACTTTCCTTATATTTAAATCATATTTTTAAACAACTCAGAATAGGTAGCAATTTATAGGAAACAGCTTCCCTTTTGGTAGCCTTAAGTATATTTGATGCTTCCCATAAAAACCCTGAAGCACATCCACACCTTGCCATAGATGAATTAATCTCAAAAGCAGAGGTTTTGTACAGGCAGGTTTGTTCCCCACCTTTCTGTTCCTGAGAACAATAGTGACCCTGCACATGGCGCTGCATCCTTTCAGCCCCACCATAACAATGCCACGCTCAGCAACAATTAAAAATACATTTAGAGGACCTGTGCACCTCTCTCTTACAGCTTGTACCTACCGTAGCTGTAGCAAAAGCCTATTTGTAAGCAGACAATACTAGCTTAAAAGTACTAATATTGTAGGTATTAGGCTGGAATGCTATTGGGAAATAGTAGCCTTTACAGCAATTTCCAGATAGAAAAGTCACCGACACTGCTACCTGGGCATTTTAAAGCAACTCTTCCTCTGTTTGGAAGAGCTGCTTCCTTAAATAAAGGCAGAAGGAATTCAGCACCCTGAGCTTAGTTTCATTTCAGAGAAAGAAAAAAAAGCCACCTGTATATGCTAACACAGAACTCACAGCAACAAAAGGTGAACAAAAGCTGCATCAGGATTTGGCAAGACAAAGGCACATTGTGAAGCTACTTTACACTGACAACCTGTATAACTACATAAGTATTCAGATATGAATGATTCAAATTTATTTTATAAGCTTTTATTGTAACTTTTTATGAAGACATTCAATTTGTATTAAGGCTAAGACTTTAAAGAATAAAACAAGACCAAAGCAGGATGATTTCACCTCTACAAGAACTCACACGAACAAAAGTGCAATACAATACAGCAGGTGATTTCAAGCTCAATTTCCAAATGAAATAGTCAGGAGAAGGAAATGTTCACATATACACTATATAGAAAGCCTGCCAGCCTCAAAGCTTGTCATTTCAAGATCAGCTCTACAAATTAACACCACCACAAACTTTTCAAATGAACATACACAGTATCATTATGAATAGAGCTTAATCTGCACAATTTCTCTATGTTTCAACAAAAAGGGAAAGACTTGACACGACATCCATCAAGAAACATCCAGGATAAAATTGGGAGGGGGGTCTACATAGCAAACAAGATAAAATTCTGAGTGCCAATGTCATTTAATATGTATCAGGGTATTTTGCCACAGGGTAGTCTCACAAAAAGAATTCCCACCTTATTATCCTCATTTCTCTCACTTACATGTATGCTGGAGAAAGTGGCGATGACCTGGATGTTTTAAGCACAGGAACTGGGAATTTCCAGATAGCAGGAGAGCTCGTTTTCCATTTCAATGGCATGTTGTCACCACGGTACTACAATAACAGTAAACAGCGTTTCCATAACAGACTACCAACTAGGACTTCCATTCCACACACTACTGACACAGCAGTGGCTGCTGCTAAGAACAAGGAAATGATTCTGCCAATGCCCTTAAACCGATGCTTCCAATCTGTAAAACAGGGCTGTAAGGCATCTCCTTTTAAATCCTGCTGTCCCCTAAAGCAATATGATGATTCTATCCTTCTAACTCAACAATAGTGCCACCTCGTTAGGGAAGCACTGACTGCAGTATATGTTAAGGAAAAAAAAAAGAAAAGACTGCACTCTGCACACCAGCATAATGCAGCTTTATTTAATAAAAGCAGCTAATTTTTAAAGTACTGTTTCTGATGCTATTGTTCTACCTTAACAGGGACACTGCAGCACTGTACTATATTCTCTTCCTATTAACCTCATTTCTGACCAATGGAAGCAGAAAAAAAAAATGGGTTTCATATGAAAATGAAAAAACATACCTACTCAGAATACACTTGTCATCCTCTGAACATTCTTCTTTTGAGCTGCAACAATACAAATGGGATATAAATCTCAGCATAGCCTTAGGCCACGGCTAATAGAGATCAGTGACTAAATTCAGCAGCCTGTTTTCCTCCTGTGCAAGCTCTGACCAAACAATACAAGAATGCCATTATGGAAAAAGCCCATTGCAAAAATCAGTCCTTCTAATCCATAGCTAGGAAGACAAAATAAAGCAGAAATCGCTGCAGGTTTCTGCATGCTCTTCTAATAGCTTCTGCTTCAGGATGCTCTCATTTTCCTATTCTCATTTCCAAGGAGGAAGAGCAAAATCTCATGCATTTTACAACATGATATGGGAACACAAATATCACTCTGTCTTCTGCAGTAGAGAAGCAGAGACTAGCAGGCTGTTAATAGCAGCCTTTGTAGGAACGCTATCAACAATCTAATTCTCAACGCCCCCCAGCAGCTCCCAAATTGCCTCCAGAGCTGACGAAGCAGATGGGGCCACGCCGGTCCCAGCAGGGACAGCTCCGCAGCCCAGGGCTCTGCCTGGTGACCTCCCGGGGCTGACGACAGCGGGCAGCAGGGAAGGAAAGCTATTAAAAAGGGACTGGGGAATTTAACAGCATCTTATGCAGAAGCAGAGCATGTTTCTAGGGAAGAGAAGGCAGAGATTCTGCTATACTGATTACCTTACAGGGAAAAAATGCATCACCTCGAATGTATCGCCACAGCAGAACAAATCAACACTAAGATATTTAGTCTGCAGATTTCAGAATAGTCTCTGTGCAGCATGACAATTTTTCTATTCATCAGGACAGCTTAATCCTCTCATTAAAAAGCCAACACCCTGTCACGCTACTTAGCAATAAAGAATTGAACCAGGAGCTATTTCTATAAATGTCTATAAATTTATTCATTCTAGTGACATTTAACAACACTCTGATAGGGTTCTGTAATGGTGAAACATTTTAAGTTTCACTGTTACAAAATGTTTTTCACAATGTAAATTCAATTTGGGGATGAAATCACCAGGCAATAATTGCAGTTCCTGATCATCATTATTGAAAATAGTTTTGGGCAAGCTGTTACCAAATCCAAAGGCAAGGAATTAAAACAACACAGGACAACCTCACTTAAAACCAGATGCACCCTTTGGACAAACAATTGAGGCCCTCTTGCCAACTTCTCTGAAGTTCTAAATTACAAATGAGCAGCATTAACCCAGGCAACAAATTTCACAGGAACTGGGATCCTGAAGAGACCCCACTGGGTATGACAATAGTGTTTATATGGCGTGACTATTAAGAAACAAAGTCCTGCAAAAACATCAATGCAGTTTTATCACAGTCATACTTTTAGCAAAAGAATTCAAGTATTTACATGCCAACAGGCAGGCCTGGCTACACACTTGGTCAATACTGTGTCCAGTCTCTCACACACACACAACACCAGACTACTACATCATGCCAGCTCTGCACCCAAAGTCTAGAAATCAGGTTGAAAGATGTTAGATAGCAGCTTTTATAATCACAAAGTAAAATAAAAATCATTAATTTGCATTCACACACACAGCTTTGCTTTTGCATTCACCATTATACAGAAAGTGTTTTAAAATACAAAAAGCAAACACAGTTACTCCCTTCCTCCCACCAAGTGCAGCCAATTGGTAACTGCTTGTAAAGCCTCTGCCTCCACTGCTCTACCACCCTCAAGGAGATCTTCACATGTTTTATTTATTAAGAGCAGCATGACTAATTTAAAAAAAAAGAATGAGGTTAAAGACAATCAATGGACCCCTTTTTCAGAAGTAACTCCTGAAATACTCTTTTGATCAGTAAAATAAAATCCAACTCAAGCCATAAAGTCATTCCCAAGCATTGACTGACATTGAAGTCAATCCAGACAGGCACAGAAATCAGAGTTACTTGTCCCTTTTGACCCCAACAAGATCATTCACCCTAGAGGGCAACATGAGTCCTCAAATAACTGCTCTCCTTTGTGTCCCACTTACTCTACAAACAATATAAATAAATCTTAGCAGAAAAAACAAATAAACAATTTTTTTAAAGTACAGGAATTCCAAGCACTACCAACCAAATCCCCTCCCAAAGTCCAGCATAAACTACACCATCTAAGAGCCCATGTACAAAATCCAGAATTTAGGAAAGCAGCAGTTGCAGGTACTCTAAAAATAGGGAAATACTTGTCACTTGCTTAAGAACAACCATGTGAGAAATGAATCACCTATCCACACATAAGGGGGAAAAAAATAAATCAAATCCCATTTTATTCCTGACAGAGATCGGTTGCATATTCACAAGGAAAATACTATTATTATGTATTTTATGCTTTGCATCAACTATTCCTAAGTCAACAGAACACCTCAGTATATAATTCTGATATTTTAATTAAGACTTCAAAATAACATTTTAGCTGCACATTTAAATATATGGGAAAAGTAATCTGATCTCCTGGAGTGTGTTATACCACTGAATACACATTTTTCTGTTCTCATACTACATAAATTTGCCACTCATCCTCAAATGAAGGATTCTTAGGGCCAAAAGCAGCATTACACCTCTGTGCAGAATATTCCTTGCTGAGAAAATATTTCCCAGTGAAGTGCTCTGAAAACATATCAACTTGGCACACAAATTGAAGATGTGCTTTAAATTTAAAACTCCTAAGAGCTGAAAATCCCATGATAACTGCACAGATTAAATGTAATTTTGGGACCATTCGAGGGGCTTTTCTGTAATTTTCTCACAAGCATGTTCACATTCAAAATTAAAAGCATCTACTATTTATAGCTTGCTTGAAGTTATATTTTACTTATTATCCAAGTCTGCCACACATCCTTAATTCTGTGTACAAAGGATGAGAAAGTGTTTGGGGTTTAAGCAGCTATTTCCATGTGCGTGTTTCCAAAGCTGCACTGAGCACAGACAAGTAACAGAGAGTATCACGAATTTCTGCACAAAACTCAGCCATAAAGGCAAGGAACAGGTGGCATAAGTAGAATAAAAGTAAATAATGGCACCAAAGGCAAGATCCCAAGGTGCCACTTTGCAGAGCTGAGACATTAGGAGAGGCCAGAAGCTCCTGGCTGGGGCTGAACAGCATTGCAGCTCTGATCCCACAGAAAGAAGAATGAAAAGTGCGTGTGATTAGAAAGGAAAGCATTTCCTCATCCTCTCCCTCCATCCCTGCACCTACATCCTGCTTCACTATTGACCAACAAGCAAAATTGGGCCCCAATGAGAAGAGCAGGCACACAGCATCACACTCAGCAAGCACATGACCAAATCACACACAGAGTTCCCCTGCCAGGGCACTGATCACAGCATCTTTTCTTCTGAAAGCTCTCCCTGATTTCCAGAGCAGGAACACAGCTAAAACCACGTCCTTGTGACTCTCTTCGTTTTCTGGGGATATCCTCTTCCTTCCTTTGAATGTTAAGCTGCTGCCTCGTTGTGTCACACACAGCAACTGTCAACACATTGTCCTCTTACAGCCCACTGTGTTCACAGTTCTGGGGCATCTGTGCATCCAACAAAACTTTTAAATCATCTCTGCATTTCCCATAAGACTTCCCTTCACAGTTGTTCAAAAAGAAGCAAAAAGCACAGGCAGAAATCTGTAGCAGAGCCCAGGCAATAGAAAACTATCCTAGTCTGAAAGTATTTATTCTGAGTCTTTGAATGCCACCTGAATTTTTGTATGAAAACCAAGCAGAATAAAAGTCAAATTCTAGAGATGTTGCTGGATTTTCATCAGTTTACACAGATAATGAGTTTAGCCTTTTTTCCTCAGTTCTTAAACTGTTAAAAACAAAACTGAAAAAAATACTTGCTCAGTCAAGTGATTTGCTGTGGTTAAAAAATTGCTGTTCCACTTTAACGGGCTACTTACCTGTCTCCTTTTATTCATCTCTTAGGTGTCAGAGGAACTGAAAGCACTAGGTGAAAAGTAGGGTTATGCTACATCACAACTTTCTCAAATCTTCCAAACCCTTCCTAGCATGACCTGAAAAGTCTTCTCACTTCCAGAACCTCAGGCTTCTTAAGCTTTCCAGAAAGAAAGCCAGCCAAAGCTACAGTGACAGTGTGATGTACATCTCCCGTTTTCAGCTAGAAATGTAGACAACAGAAAGGTCTTAATATTTGTGTCATAAACTATTTCCTACTGATAGAGTGTCTATATAAGAGAAGATGCCAGACTCAACAACAAGAAAAAAACCTTAAAATGGTAGTGGTTCGACCAGTAAACATATTCAAACTTCTGAGATTCTTTTCCCCCACACCTGTGTTCTAAAAATTCATTAATACAAAAGCATGTTTCCATTTTAAAATGCATATTTGTTATATGATAAAATCCCTGGTTTATGATATTAGCAGCAGCAGAACTCACTCCAAACTGAAGGCTGAAAATCAGTTTCACATAGGGAGGAATTGCTCTCATCTTTTCTGTGTCTTCAGACCACCAGCCTGCTGAGCTGATGCATCCTACACCACACAAGAGCATTTTGATACAGAAGAAAATAAAGCAGAACCCCCCAAAATCCAGCAAAATATTCCCAAAGGCATGGAGCTCAAATGCAGTAATCACTTCAATATCCAAATCATTTCAGCAATTTAAATATGGCTGCAAAGGCACAATCTAGAAACTGAAGAGGAACAAAGAAGGATGTGTAACATTTCTCTACAGGTTCCCAAAAATCTGTGTGATAACTTAATGGGCTTCCTTACTCAGCTCTTTCCACTTCACATGGGTGCTTCTCATGCCTCTACCTCTGGCTTTTCAGTCTATTAAACTGCAGCTGTTCCAATTACTGGAAGAGTATAATTAAAAGATGGTGTTGACAGTACTGCCCTATACATGAGTCAGTTAATTAATACAATTTCTTTGACCATATATCTCAAAACATTCATACCAAAATTGATAGGAAGGGAAAACAAATCTTTGCCTAAGGAGGAATCCAAAGGAAACCACTGCAGTCACATCTGCAGTCCTCTCACAGCAGCACTGAAACATCCCCCAAATACTGAAGTACAGAAGAAGATTGGCAATATGCACCTGGCAATGCTTTTACTGAAATGGCAACATTTCTAGAAACATAAGAAGTTTTACTAAGAAATCTTACTAAATCTTACAGAGAAACAGTCTTTGAATTAGTTATTTTAAATTTCATTAAGAAATTAGCTTTAAAACTGCTAAAGACAGTTCTGACAATAACAGCTGTACTTTGACTTGCTACCTGCTATACTGTCTCAAATTTTTTTATAACTGGGGATGAAAAAGCCATCAGACATCAGATATAAATTACAGCAGCTTTTAGAAGCAGTTGTACTGTAGCCATCAAGGTGCCTGTGATGGATAATAAATGGATCCATCCATAATCTCAT